AGTTTCCTCGGGCGGCGTCGTTCCGGTCGCGCACAGTTTTTGCTATTTATCTCTTTGTTTTTTTTGTCTTAGTGTGTTATATGACGCAAGTGGTATGCAATAAAGATTCTTTACAGATTGATGACTTTCTCACTGAAGATGAACTAGGAGATACAGACAACAACCGTTTACAACATAAACTAAGGATTACTTTTGGTGTCACGTGCGTCGGTTCTACATGGCAGCCGGACGGGTGCGGCGCATGAGTATTCCTGTCATGAATTATAAAGTCATATATCTCGTCAAAATTGAAAAATTGTGACGAAATAATACCAGATCATCATTCAAAACGACATTTGGGAAGTTAATTTGAGTTTTCATATTTTAACAATACGAGTGATATAACCAATTTTGGACCACATTGAACGTTTTATCTTATCTAGCAGGGGCAGGCCAAGACCATAAAGCACTTCATCCGAAGAGTCGGTATTGAGCACCCCATACAGTTGTTTCATTGATACAAATTCAAGCATCTGATGAAAGCCTGTAGTCTTCCAATTATTTCCTCTTCGGGAAGATGTCTACCTCTTACCAAATGGCCAAGAGTTATCCTTCTAGCATCAGAGAGCTTATCACAGTCATAGAGTAGGTGATCGGCTGTCTCCTCTGACCTTTCGCAATACCTACAGATTGGTTTACCATCAAATAAGCCCATCCATTTTAAATGTTTCCTGAATCGCCCGTGGCCAGTTATCAGATCCACCGTTAATTAACAGGAATTCTTCGCCTGTCTAGTCTCAAGAGGTCAGAGGCAACCCTTTTGATAAGCCTAAACAGAGTAAGCTTGCTAATCCTAATATAGGCGTTGATAACGTGTCCCCAAGACCATCCTGGGTTTTGTGAAGCCATCGTGAATATTCCCTACGATCACAGAGAGTCATCTTGTCACTTGCTATGTGCTCAATTCTGTGGAAATTGGAACAAATCCAGTTCCAAGAAAATCCCAAATTAAGTTTAATCTGAAGAAATATTTTTTTAACTTTCCTGTAATTTTGGGATCCGTCCATCCCTAAAACCTCCCTTAAGAACTTAAAACTTGTTGTGAATCAATAACTTTTGGTTAAAAATTATCCTTGCAGCAAAATGGTTTGCCTCACAATCTCAATTCTCTTGTATCACCTTATTCAATCTCACTGTAAAAGTTAAAAACTCAATCTCAATCCTCCAAAATATCATGATTCTTTTTGTTTTTAAAAACTTGACAGTGTAATGGTTTAATTGTTTTAGAGAGGAATACAAGTTAAATAAGTGGAGAAACAATAATACTTTAAGGAGCGTCCTGCTTATCAGTATAATAAGCTACTTGACAGTGTAATGGTTTAATTGTTTTAGAGAGGAATACAAGTTAAATAAGTGGAGAAACAATAATACTTTAAGGAGCGTCCTGCTTATCAGTATAGGTCACAGAGATTAATATTATTATTTTATTGGTTGAAAATAAGTTAGGGCAATATTGAGATGTTCTTCCACTGCTGTTTAAAATAATTTATTTGCGTAGTGAGTTTGGCATAACTACATAATTGATCTTCAGTATTAACTAATACTGGTGTGCACAATGTCAACTATCTTACAAGCAATCACAATGACTATGTTTGTTCAGTTAACGTATAATATATTCATAAAAGATACAACATATACATAAATTACACATAACAGTTCAATGCATGAATATTTCATGGTAATAAATTTAAATTAATAATATTCACTTAATAATAACAATATTTTAAAAATTTCACTATTTAGATTATTTGTTTGAGTATTATTTATACCCCCTAAATCCCTATACAATTTTGGCTGAAACGCTTATTGGATGTATAAAGATGTTTGAGCATTTTCAGGATGTTTTCAAGTTAAAATCAATACAAAACATGTTTCATAGATTCCATGTAAATTCTGTTCATTTATAACAAAGGAAACCCTCTTTTGTTCCTAAAGATCAAGTAAAAGGCGAGGTCAGTCCAGAAAGTAAAAAGTTATAAAGTGAACAAAATTATAAAATTACTTCTATATATTTAATAAACACTACACAATAAGTTATATACCAGGTAGAGTGTAATTCTTTGTCTTTAAAAAAAAAATACCCTTAGCAATGGAAGTGTCCCTGAACATATGCAAGTTAAATGGTGTCCTAAATATATAATGACTATGGCTATAGATGTTTGAATGATTAAAATTTGAATTTATCATTTTTTTTTTATTAGAAGGCTGTGTTATTGATAAACCCTCTTGATATAAATCAGCTGCCTAACCTTGGTTTTAAACCGTTTCATACTGTAAGACCACAAATTTTCTGTTTAAACTTTTTCCTATGGTGCTAAAACTAGAAACTCTTCCAGAAAATGTCCAAAGAGTCTGTGATTGTTGAACAGTAATCATCATTGGTTTTGATGCTGCCAATCGGTTAATTAGTCACTTTATTAGGCCTTCACAATGGGTTTTTAATACCCAAACCAATGGGTTTTGGTACAATTTATCCAAAATCAGTAAATCGCGTAATGCTCCTACTAATACTATAGATATATCTCATGCCTAGTTGATGACATTTCCATTCACTTTTGTTAATTTCTGGACGACCCTAACATAAAATTGAATTTTACTGTAAATCCAGAAGGAATTTATTCTCAACAATGAATTCCTTTACAAAATACCGCTTACAATTCATCACCTACCAAGAATATTACAACAAAAGGTTTTAAAGTCAACAATTACAAATACAAATCACCCGTTGAACTTTAGAGAGGTACAGTAACTACTATACAACATGTATAAAATCTGTTCTTAAATTATTTACTAATAAAAATAAAACTACCTAACAACTTCACATATATAAAACATGTAACATTGATAAAAACATTTATACGTAAGTCTTCCATGATTAATTACAGTGTACAAAATAGAACATGAAAGTACAGGTCAAATAAGTAACATTTTATACAATATCAAAACAACATTGGTATGAAAAACATTCAATACAAAGCATAGTATATGCCTAATATGAGTTTGTGATTAAATGTAATTTGGATTATTGTAAGAAAAGTTTACACTACATTCGTTGTCTAAGATAGCCTACGTTCAACATTCTTTCAAAGTGTTCATTTTATCTTGATGATTGGGTATAAAATCCTCTAAATTGCCAATTGCATTGTATTTTCCTAAATATATAAACCGGCCCAACTACTCTGTAGCCTACCTCTAGCTTGAGTAAAATATGTTACTAACAGCTGAAAAACTGTATTGTAATAGGAACCTTGAGCTTAATTTGTTCACTGGATAGCTTTCAAGTTAACTCTGTCAAGAGTACGTTAAAATATTGTGGTATGCAGTACAAGCCCCAACTAGACTCAAACTGTTAATTAAATTATACGTTCAAAACACTGATTTTAAGAACCAAAGACCAAACACACTATAGTCATACTAATAACATTTTCTGTGGAAGAAGCAAAAAGCTAATTTCTAAAGTACAAAACAATGTTAGCTAAACCACATTTTCACATTAAAATTGTTGAGTTGTGGTTACTAAAATAGTATCAACGAGAGCTCACCCCTTGGTCGAAACTCGCCCAAGAGTATGTATTGTGCAAACTTCTCTATTTTCACCCCACACTGTAAATAAAACATGTGGTAGGAATTTCTTCCATTTGTTTTGATTTCCTGTTTATATTTTGTTGTTATTTCGTCCCCAACATGGCAATATGACCTGTTAATTTTTTTTAAATTTCCAATTCATTTTTTGTGCCTATTTTATTTTTTAGCCTATTTTAATTTATAAAAGGATTCTGCACATCTACGGGTAAATATCTTTCATTTGGTACCAACCGCGTGTAATTCTGTCTAGTAGTATCATAGACTAACCAACACAAGTAGACTTCTCATCCCATTGTAAATTTTGAAGCTCGTTTTTCGTGTCTAGTTCATGTACGCCACACTGGGCGCTAGTGTTGACGAAATTTTGTTTCTATTATTTTAGGGTTAATTTCTTGATTTGTGCTTTACTATTTGGTTAAATAACTAGGGGACAAATTATTGTTTATGATTAGATCGTATTATTTGGTTAAACGAGGTTTTAAATGACTGTATTAACGGGAAACAAATTGTAAACAAAACACGACCTCTACATAAACCGTACAGAACTAACAATAAAATTGTCTTCAGCTGTTCCATTAGGATGAGAAATCTACTAAGGGAGTATGTTTTATCTATGGTAGTATGATCAGGCTAGCTGTCATAAGATTTGCAAAAGTTTTTTAGTATATAAGATATCACTGCATATTTTGCAAACAACCCATATGGACCAGCTGTAGAATATTTTTTATTTAAGAACATAGTTGAATGGGACACATGCAGAGTGAGCAACTGGTATTCTATTTTCTCTATAGCTTTTGTTAATGAGACATTTTAACACGTTCACTACCGAGCGACGCACATTTGCGTCGGTCCGGTCACTCCTACAGACCAAAAGGAATGAACATGACGTTGCTTACAGACCAAGTGATATAGGAATAACATTGCCGACAGACCAAAAGAGAAATATCGTTTAAATGGACTAATTGACTCCATATTAACCTTAAGTGAATTAGTTAGCAATAAATATTGTTTTTATTTATCGTTTTGAGCAAATTTTAAAACGCCGCATATACGCGTCGGTCAGTCTATTTAACGAAATCCAGTTAAAAAGATTACATTTTCGTTTCAATAGACCAGACGACGCACGTAAGCGTCGTTGTAAATTTTGTTGTTTCTAGCTTTTACACAAACAAATAAAGAAACTCCACTAAACACTAGCCAAAACTGCTAAGGTTATAACGTTTACATCTGTTTCTGTGATGTCACGGAATACACAATGTAAACAACAATGTTGCCAACTGTTGTGTGACGTAACCAATCGTCATATCCACAGACCAAGCGACACCCATTTGCGACAGATATCCCTCTAGAACGATACGATAAAATCAGGGGTTTAAAATAGACCGTTGCTAAGAAATACGCTGATTAATAACATTGAACACCGACGCAACTGTGCGTCGTTAGTCTATTTCAATGTGACCAGCTGACGCAAATATGCGTCGGTGGTCTACTGTGAGAAACGAGTTGACGCACAATTGCGTCGCTGGTCTATGCGAACGTAAATTCCATATAATTGTGGTAGCGAACGTGTTAATGTGGCAAAAAGATAGCTTTCTGTTTTACTTGGTTGTATGTGTACTCTACACAAACTATTAATAATTTACAACAGCGTACTATGTCAGTGGCTCAACTCAACTATGTCCATTCGATTCTAAAACTGGTGACAACCTTAACATGGGGATGGCATGTCTTTTTATCAGTAGCGGTAATCAAAGCTATAAGGCATGAAATCTCATATTCATCATGGATAAAATAATTTGTTGAATTATGTATAGGCTCAATGTTACTTTGGGTTAGTTTTCTCACAGTTTTTAGTTTCACACTTGGCTTACAGCATAACACTTTGCAGTATAATTTTTACAGTACGTGAAATGTAATTGGTCATTTGGTCACTACACTGTTCCTTGCCAGTTAGTTCCGAACCCTGCTGCAGTATCAGAGTCGCTGTCCGCTCCCCCACCCCCCATAGACTTGGTACTGATAACACTCTCTGGCCGTGAGGGTGGGACAAAGTCCATGGCTCGTTTGGACTTGCGCTTTTTGATCGGAGCGTGCTTTGGTGGCGGCATCTTCCTGGTGTCCCCCTGCAATGCGTGGAACATCGATTATTAACGAAATTTATTTCAGTAACTAGGCAGGTATTATAAGTTCTTTGATGTGTGACCACCATTGCAGTTCATGGTCAAAATTAGAACTACAGGTTAATGTGTTTGTTTAATTTTTTCAATGAATGTTTTTGGTGAGGTTCATAATGTCCAAATTTCACAAACTCCAACGTCTAAATATCAAATAAATAGAGCGGTTCATAACCTCCAAGTTTCATAAGCTCCAACGGTACAGTCTCTGCCAGAAGTCGCTGCAGAGGTTGCCGTGGTTCGGTATGTAGGCGCTACACGTTCTACTGTTGTAGCGGCGCAACACGAAGTATCATTGTTGCTCCGTAATTGCTTTCTTAAGAGTATAAGTATATATTCTTAAGAGTTCCCATAGTCCGATCATGCTGGTTCGCGAACTCGTTTGAATAAACGTAGGTTTACACGTTTGTACCAAATTTCATCAAAATCGGATGATTTTTGCTCGAGTTATCGCGCTAACGGACACAAATATAAATATATATATATATATAACTGATGGTGTTTTTGGTCTCTAGGGACCTCAAAACGAAAAAGTAAATCGGTCCCGGGACCAGGTCTTACCATGAGTACTACGGTAATAGCTTATTCCCTATAGGGGAAATTCGCTAAAATGTAAATTTGATTTGCACATTGTGTGCTAACACATATTTGAGTCACACATCTGAGTGTTCTTCAATCATTAAAATGTACGTATAATCAGTAGCTGGCAAACGGCATCGATGTATATAACCTAACTGGATCGCGCCCTGCCACGAGAGCACAGCGCTGAAAACGAGCCGGCGCACAGTAGGCTCCCCCCACCACTGGTGGGCAACCACGCGGCGCCGGCGACTGTCTCGTGCGTTGACTGCACTGTTTACATCCCATGTAATCACTGTCGTACTCGTGATGTTAGTGGTGGTATTTTTTGTTATGTCTAATGAAAGTTCTACATCATGCCACAGAGGTGTGTCGCATTCAACTGCAACAAAAGTGCCAAAAAGGGATCGGGAATATCCTTTTACAAGTAAGTACTGTTCTCTTGTATAGTTTATACTATTTATAGTTTCGTGGCATTAGCATAGGTCATTAGAATGCTGTGTTGAAAAATATTTAAGATTAAGTACACAGTAAAAACCTGTATTTAATTTTGTCAAATAGATTAAATATTTTATTTCCACAAAATAAGCATATCTTGTTAAGTCTCTGATTGAATACGTTTTTTTTAGCTTTCCGAAAGATCCTGAGCTGCGAAGTAAATGGATATCTGCAACAAAAAGGAAAAACTTCAACCCTTCCAAGCATGCCCGTATATGCAGTTTACATTTTACCCAGGACCAATTTCAAATCCGACCAAACAGCAATTTTGAATTGTTAAAACCTGACGCTGTGCCATCAGTATTCGACTTCCCTCCTCATCTAGCTTCAGCACCTCCAAAGAAAAGAAGGATTATAATTAAAAAACAGGTAATTATAACATCATGACATTCATGCACTGTGATACTTTTTAGGTGAAATCGTAGATATACAAAATGTTTATAGCCTAATTTATTTCCTTACATAGAAATGTAAAATATCCAAAATACAATCATTGTTCATAAAGTGGTGATGATAACAAAGTACAAAAGAACACGTAAATTAAGTAGTGATTGCCCTGTAATGGATTTTACGATGAAAGTTTACTATCGATAAATCTACGATAGCCACACATTTTATTGGAGGTCATGCTGTTTGAAAATTAATAAGAAACATTTCACTAGGACGAAATGAAAATAACACATGTTTTACTACTAGGACAATCAAAATAAAGATTAAAATGAGTGTAAGTGCTATTATAAGCTATAAATAGTTTGTTGTTATAGATTGGGTTTTGCCAGTTTCACTGTGACCATTATGTGTTCATGTTGATAAACATTATAATGTTTACCTATTACCACATGATTAATATAGGCTATTTACAGGACATCTGTGTATCTGATGACATCTGTGTATCTGATGATATCCAGACACCAACTGCTTTGTTGCCGAAACATGACGACGATTCCTCTCCTAGTACATCAATTATCATTCCATCATGTGAAAAACCAGATGAAATCCAGTGTATTAGTATTACGAACAAACAGGTAAGGGGGTTTTTTAGAAAGTAGGGTAGAATATACAAAGATTCAACACTTAGTTAATATAAAGTCGATAACTTTACTCAGTCATACGTCTTTTGTATTAAAATTTACGTCTATACGAATCTTCATCAATGAACATATTAACCATAGAAACAACATGGAAGCTCTTAGCACGTTATCTGATTATCTTAATGCCTAATACTTTAATTTAACTCTTAATTTTAATATTTTTAGACGCCACAAACACCAACCAAAAATTTGCTTCGACGGAAAATCAAGATTCTACAACAACGGTTAAAGAGGAGAGAAAAGAAGATAAAAACAATGAAAGATGTGATTATTTTATTAAAGAAAAAAATTAATGCTCCAGATAGACTGTTAGAACTATTAGAAGATAAGTTTTCTGGGTTTCCTCTTGACTTAATTGTACATAGTATTAAGAATAAGAATGCTAGGAACTGCAGAAATTTTTCAGATAAAATGAAAGAATTTGCTTTGACCATGTATTTTTATTCGCCAAAGGCATATTCATTTCTCAGAAAAAATAACTTTCTATTGCCTCACCCTGCAACACTGAGGAAATGGATTGCAAGTTTCAACTGCCTGCCTGGTTTTTTGGAGGAGGTATTGAATTATTTAAAAGCAAACTTGGAATCAAAGCCTTTTTTAAAGAATGTAAATCTTACATTTGATGCCATGAGCATCAGGAAGCAAGTAATTTTTGACCATAATTTAGGGAAGAATTTCGGTTATGTTAACCTTGGCAATGAAGTAAATGTTGGTGAATCCGAAACCTTAGCTTCTGAAGCTTTAGTTTTTCAAGTTGTTTCACTAACAGGTAATTTTAAATGTGCAGTAGGCTATTTTCTCATTGATAAAATAGGTTCCGATATTTTGTCTAAGTTAGTTAACATGTGTGTATCGAAGTTGCTAGAAATTGGAGTTATCGTCCATAATGTAACATTCGATGGTGCCAGTTCCAATATAACAGCTGTGAAAAAGTTGGGATGCCAATTGCCTGAGAAACCTTATTTCTTTGTTAAGTGTAATGGCGTATCTCATAAGATTTGTGTCATGTTAGATGCATGTCACATGCTGAAATTAGCCAGAAATACTTTGGCGGACAAAGGTACCATTCAGACAGATGATGGAAATGTTAGTTTTAAGTATATACAAAATCTTAATTCTTTGCAAAAAGATGAAGGATTATCACTGGCTAACAAGTTGTCTGACAAGCATATATGCTATAAAAACAGAAAAATGAATGTAAAAATTGCAGCTCAAACGTTGAGCTCTGGCGTTGCTGACGCTTTACAATTTTTGTTAATGAAGGAACATCCCAATTTTGTAGGTCGTAAACCAACCATAGATTTCATTAGAATAATTGACCAGTTATTTGACATTTTCAATAGTAGAGACCCGTTTGGGAAAAATTTCAAATCCCCCATAAAGAAAGAAAACCTTATGTACATTAAAATGATCTTAGACAAAAGTTTAAACTATTTAAAAAGTTTAAAAATTGAAAACGTCCCCATCTTAGAACACCCTAGAAAGACATTTGCTCTCGGTTTCATTACTAACATCAACACAATTGGCATTTTAATTGATAAACTACTAATTGATCTCAAATTGAATTACATACTAACTTATAAATTTTCTCAGGACCACCTGGAGTTGTTATTTTCATGTATACGAGCTAGAGGAGGAAATAATAACAACCCAAATGTAAAGCAATTTCAGTGGGCCTTGAGAAAACTTATGTTCCGTAACAGTATCCAGCCTTCTGCAAAGGGGAATTGTTTGGTTTTTGACGAACACCATCAAAATTCGGTCATGAGCTTTGGAGAAGCAGCGCGGTTGCATAGTAATGAAACCGAGGACAACGACGACGACTTTGAACTTTTGATTAATCTTTACGAGGATACTAATAGTACATTTAAGGACAATGCATTGTACTATATATGTGGTTTTGTGACAAGGAAAATTATAAATAAAATAGAATGTGAGGAATGTACAAATCTATTGATTGATGACGAACAAAACTTAAGCCCATATACACATTTTACAGATCATGTAAACAGGGGTAAACTAGTCAGAGCCTCGTCAGATGTGTTTAAGATTATAAAGTTTTTGTTTAATCAATTCAGAAGTTTTGCTTCAACCAACTGGGCTAAAATGAATGCCTATAATATATGTGCTTTGGCATCAAGGATGTTTGCTGGCAATGTATTCCGAGGCCACAAATCAAACGGAGATCTTGGTGAAGACAATCATGATCTAATGCTCATTAAAATGATAAGCATGTTGTTTTCTAAAGTATATTGTCATAAAGTGTCAAAAGAAAAAACCTTAAAAAGTAATGTTTCAAACCTCGGCGTTCGGCAGAAACTAAATAAACTTATTTTGTTTAGCCACGTCTAGCAAAATATTGAAAATCTTTCAAATGTATGATTGTTGTCTAGCAAATGATTTCTATTTGTAAAAGTTGTTTTTTTGGTAAGATTAATTAAATATATATATGAACTACAAAAGTTAAGTTTTATTTCCTTTGATTATTCTACACTTGGGAGTTCAATACCGGTAGGCCTACTGAAGTTTTTCTCACTACTGTGAGAGTGAACAATTAATGTTATATAATATAATTTAACGTCAACTGATGTACTATATAACCCAACTGACTCAATAAAATAATCCATATCGATGCATATACATAACATCAAAACTGTGTTATAAATCCAAGACTACCAACAAGAAAGTTCAATTTTAAATATGTGTTCCGGGTCCCTATATTATAGTTTAGATAATGTACCTATGAGAAAAAATTACATACAATACCATACACGAAAAGAG